ACAATATTTTTCCTACGATCACAAAATAATTAAAAAAAAAAAATGTAAAACTAGGAAATCTGGCTATGAGTGTTCCATCAAGATGTGGCTGGTTTTGAGATTTGTTTTTTTGTATGCCTTATTGTATAATTTTCAATGAGTTTTACAGATAGTATTTTGTCAAAATTAAAAATATTGTGTTTCCATTTACAAACAATTTCATAAGACGATGAAGATAAAATAACATTAGTTACAAAAAATATTAAAATACATTAATGTTTTTCATTAGTTTATTTATTTTAAACAAATAAGTTGAGCAACCGTGAACAAATTTTTTTTTTAATTTGGTGTCATAGGCATCGACTGCTAAGATCATTAGCCTCGTGTTCTGTGTAGGCTTTGTTACTGTTTCCCAGTGCCACTTTAGGAACAGCACTGTTAATTAGAACCCAACAGTGAATGGTCGAGTGGGGAATCCTACCAAGGCATCAGAATTAATTTTAAATAATTAAATTAAATAAAAAAAATCCCGGCCAACGGTGGGATTCGAACACAAAATATTTTTTATTATTAATGGTTAGCTACTTATTTCTTTACTCACAGTTTTTTTCTGAACAGTAATTAAAATAGTACAAAATATTGTAGGAATTATAATATGATAATTAAAATGTATTTTAAATAAATAAACTACAATAGTCGTATTTTTCCAATTTTCATATATCAAATAAATAAAAAATAGATGTTATCGGAAATTAAACCAGCGCAGCGTCTCGAAATGGTTACGAAATGCTAAGTTGAAAAAGTCAGACGCTGAACCATTTACGCTATCAAGTGAGTTGACTTATCCAAGTTAACATTGACTTTTAATATCAACTCCGCTTTTCATAATACTTAGATATAGGCAACACATTATACACTACTTACGACAAATTTTCAGTATTTATATCTATTTCTTAAAATAATGTGATTGTAGAAAAGATCTTGTGTGTATTTTAAGCGAAAATTTCGTTGCTGCATTCGATAAATTCCCTTTCTGTCTCAAGCTCTTTGTATATTAATACACACAAGATTTTTTCTACGATCACACTTTTTAAGAAATAGATATTAAAACTAAAAAATATTCATAGTGTATAAGTAGTATATAATGTGTTGCCAATTAATCATGAAAAAATCAGTTGATATTCAAAGTCCATGGATACTATAACAAAAAAACATGTATCTACGTACAAATAACTTGAAATAAAATTGTATTATAACTAATTTAAATAAGGCGAGCAATAAGCGGTCAACTTAATGTCAGTTCGCAAAAAACGTTAACTTTGCGTTGGATAGTGATCGTAGAAAAATAACTATATACTACCGGCCGGCGTGCAGAAAAGTGTACATTTACGCACGGAAATGCTTGCGAAAAAAATAGTACTTTGCGCATTCTCATAGAAAAAAGTGACATTTTAGTTCCTGTCAAGAGAGAAAAAACTGTTTTCCCGTTAAAAATATTTATTTCAGTGCTTTCATGTTTTAGTTTTTCTAAAATTGGTCAACATTAGCTACCGACACTCTGTATAAGGGTTGACTTGTACCCGATATAATAAGGACATCGATGATGGAATTAAATGATCGTTATATGCATACAGGGAGGCAGCGTCGGCAGTATTCACTATAAATCAGGCAACATATGCCGTTTGGACAGCTGGTGATGGATTGAAGCAATGGATACGATTCGAAATTGGAAAAGTGATTGTTGATTCAATCAAAAAATGTTTGCTGTATTATAGAGGGCGTAATCGATAGCTGAAAGTAACACTATATCGCCCTTATAATTACTCAACCTTTTTTCTGTACCACCATGGAAAATTGTGAGAGATTTAACAATAGAGTTACTCCTTATTGTTTATTAGCAGGATGTTATTAAAATTAAAATGTTTTTAAGAATGGTTTTTGTGGATGCAAAAATACATTGATTGTGGTGGAGAATACTTTTCAAAAATTATAAATAAATATTTTTGTAAATAAACTGTGTTTTCTTTACTAGGCTCAACGGAAAGAGAACAGTTCTCGTATTACTTAGTACTACTATTGTACTAAGTACTTACTTTTTTTTTTTTTTTTGTTTCAGGGCCGACTAGAGGGGGGTAGCCGGGACTAATTCCCGGGGCCCGGGCTTAAATGGGGGCCCAGCAGCGCTGTAAGGGGGCCCTGCATGAGAAATTGACACAAGATGAGAGAGGGAAGTTAAGTTTAAATTAAAATTAAATACAAGTAGAGGAAAACTTTTAGCCTAGAGAAGTATTTTTCGGCTTTTTTTTTTTAGAAAAGAAGCAATTGAAGCAGGGAGAATAGAGTTTTGATGTGAGGACCTTTTTCTTTTTTTTTTAGGAAAAATTCTATTTCAGTAGAAGAGGTACAGTTTTTGGTTAAAGATTTTTTTGTCACGGGGCCCCATCTAGAGAATTGTCCTGGGGCCCGGCCTGGCTCTCGGCGGCCCTGTTTTTAATGTAGGTCGTAATAGCATATCTTTTAAGTTAAAAATACTTTATGTATTTGTATATTTGTTTACATATTTTTCATATAATTAGTAGGTATATTATTTAAATACTTTTTATTAAATTAAAAAAAAATGTAGGTATGCTTTCACACGTTCATTTTTAAATTTACACTTCAATAAAGAATAATTTAAATATGCATTGTGGATTTATCTGGTTTTGCTAGATTGGTCTGACTTTAGGGTCTAAATATTTTAAAAGGTAAAGTGACCATATATTTTGAAAAGTAGAAAGCGGAACAAATCGAAAACAGATTTTTCTACGAATTCTATTTGCAGTAGTGACGGCTTGATTCACTGAAGAGCAAAAAAAAAGTAAATATTTAATAGAGTGCGTTGTCGCGTCACAATAAAAATTGTCTAAATCGGGACGGATGGTCACTTCTGATTTCACCATTGAATGTATCTATTGAAAACGAATAGGAATCAATAACTAACTTATGTTTGTCCAGAAATTGATTTATCTGGTTTTATCTGATCGCTCCTCAATTATTGTACTTTTTATTTGAGAGATCTACAGTACGTAACGTGGTAAGGATGGCACTGTCAACTTCGTTTGAGTACCTATTGTTTATTTTGTTCCATAATGTATATTGTAATTTTGAAAAGCATCATCCAATTGTGAATGTAATTAATATAGCGTCTTAAAATGTCCTTTGTATTGCCATCTCGAATATATAAACGAATTTCCCCATATCCTCACGCGCTCTGTTTTAACCAAGCTCCCGACAATCTCATTCGCGGTCCTTTTATTTGAGATATATTATTATATGAACACACATGCCCCAAAATACATCTAATTTGGCGAAAGACCCGTCTTTGAGCCGCGCCACGGTAATTAGAAAATCCATTTTATTAGGGAGGCACAATAGGGGCTCAAACAGGAATTAGCAGCGTCTTATTGGATGTAAAATACAGGTTATACTGTCTTGTGCGTGATTTCCAATTTCCATTCTATTAGCCAACTTGATGGCTTCTCTGGCTAATCTACAATGGTTGCGAGGGGGATAGGGGCGTGCGACGCTGATTTGTAAGCCGACGAGTTTCGATTTTTTATCTTTTAAGAATTGTTTTCTTCATTTCTAGAGTTTTATTTTTTTGGATACAGACCGTCCCATTCAGCAACCACACGTCATTATGATGTCATTTTATGGTCACACTAGGCGCGTGACGAACCATAACATATAAATGACTTCCCAGAGACGTTAATCTGGAGACGTTGCTAAAACGTTAAGAAAATATCGTCTTATAGGCATCATTTTGTGGATATTTTAATGACGTCATATCATAACGTCTCTGCTGGCGAGATTGTGCCATATCATGTCTTAATGAATTATACACGTAAAAAATTGAAAAATTAAGTATTTATAGTAAGTACTACTATTTAGTAATTTATATCACACACATAATAATATTCCTTTTGTACCTATACTGAACTATAAAATAAATTGAATCGGTGAGAATAAGAACAGTACAAGTCCAAATGTTGCAATTTTGGAAAAACGAAAAAAACTCTCTGACAAGTTAGTTATTAATTTTACGAGTTTCGCGTGCATATAATAGTTTTAGTGTATCATTTTATACGTCGTTTAAACTAAAAATAAAATTTGTTGGTTTATGATTTTTTCACTTATACACAAATAAGTAACTTGGACTTGTACTGTTCTTAATCTCAATCTGCGTTATTGTTAAAATACTTGACCAAGTTTTTTTTTTTAATAAAAAACAACATATCAAAACACATTTTTTATTATAATACCAAAATACAAAATAATACATTTTAATGATTATCATCGTCTTTGTTTGTTGTTGGCCATGAAATAATGTGGTAATAAAACTCCAGCTGCTCTCCCTCTACATATTTCATGATCTGCCTTATATCGTTCATCTTTTTAACGTTGATTGGCACTGGCCCAGAATAGGCTTTAGTAGATGGAACCTCTGGATTCTGATTTTGTTTTAGTAGCTTAAAAGTGTAGGATAAAGCTCCGTCAATAAAATCGAGGCACTTAACATAGCCGGGATAAGACGCATCATACACAAACTGCATGTATTTGGAAATCGTAAAATTTTCCTTTTCCCTATTTGATAGATTTGTGGAAGTTTTTTTATAGAAGGTTGGCCACCAGTTTTTAAAATCTAGTATATCGTTGTAAGAAATGATATGTATGGTAAAAGGCATTTTTTTTCTGGAATTTTTAATCATATCCTCGTATTCCTCAGGAACGTAAATACGATCACATTTTCTGATCAATCTTTTTGCACTTCCGAAATCCCTGTCGCAAGGCAAAAAAGAGTGGCCGCGAATTGGGAAGTGGTGGTAAATTTTTTTAAAACGCCGACTAATTTGTAGAGTTATCAAAAATCTAACCAGGGTGTTATTTTTATTCTGTCCTGGACATGCGTCAGAAAAAATGTGCAATTCTTCAACTTCTTGGGGTATATGATTTGAAATATAATCGTTCAAAAAGGTACACACCTCATTGGAGCCCTTTAGGGCTTGACCCTCATGGTACATATAAAAATGGCCATCGCCTGTTCGCAAGTTATGGATTTCAAATGCATAAACCCAAAGCTGCCTGTAATAAAATATTTCCTGCACAGGTAAAACTGGGAGGGGCAAATTCTGCATGTAATCAAACGTGATTCCTAATATCTCAGGGTGAGCCTTGGACAGTGCCTGTACTTCTTGCAATTTACTATAAAATTTTTTGGCCCTTCGTTTGTGGACCATAAGCTCTGCTGCACACACCCTTTTGGCATTGTCGTTTAAACTTTTATCTCTTAATCTCCTACCAAGTCGTTCGCATTCGCTACAGACATCGACTTGTGGTCTGCCAAACTTTAAGGAGTAATTTTCATTGAAATATTTTAAGAAGAACTCATATTTAACAATGTTATTCAATTCAGGGTGTTTCTTGATAAAAAGGTCGAACAAAATTTTTACGTTAAGTTTGGAGTCCAAATATTTAATGTCTTTTGCACCATAATGTGAAGTTTTAAATGGAAAGGAATCGATATGCATTTGCATTTTAGTCCTGGTTTCGGCAGTAACTGAGGTAGGTCTGGTGCTGTGCTTTCCACGCATGTCTTTAGGAGATTCTCCTTTACTGAGCAACATATTTAGGCGTTGTACACGGAAGTGAGATATGGCATACAAATTGAGAAAAGCCTGTTTACATACCGGCACTCGTTCTTCAATTTTTTGAACAAAGTATTGAAAATGTGCAGTTCTCAGCTTTGCATTGAGTTCATCGCCATCGGCCACTCGTTTGCGACGTCTTACAATGGGTTTTGTCTCCATTAAACCTTGAAGGAAAGTGTCCTGTTCGTTTTTTGGCTTTCCATCATATAATTTAGAAAATATTAGCTGTTTTTCTTCGTCATTAAATTTGCTTGTACATTTTAGTTTGCACCTACAAAAGTAAAACGCACTTTTGTCAGTTAAAAACAATAATGAGCAATAAAAACTTACGTGCATGGGGGTCCAATCTTTTTTGCTTCCACAAACTTCCTAGATGTAGATATATACGCTTTTCCTACTTGACGTGCAAGTTTCCTCTTGTTAACTTTCCATTTTTCAGGATTTCTGGTACGTTTTTTACCTTCAGTTCTCTCACTTTCAGATCCTGCCGAGCTACTATCATCTGATGACATCGTTTTATTTCGTTTTATCAATATATTTTAGAGGATATTTTATTAAAATAACTATCCACACAAACAACAAATACACCGAGTAGCAACGAAAACAAACTAAAACAGCTGGCTGTGATTACGATTGCATGTCTACAAATATCTCCGCTGAGAATAAGAACCGTGCAAGTCTGGACTTGTACTGTTCTTACGCTCAATGCGCGTTGCCATACGCCTTAATATAGTGATATTAGTACTGTTTTTGCACTCATTCGATGAAGCCTTGTATTAAAAACAAAATGGCTATCTCAGTTCAAAATGTCAAATTTTGGACTTGTACTGTTCTTGTTCTTACCGATTCAATTGCATATCCATTTTTACTTGATTAAGAAATCCCGATATTTTAGGCTGGTTGGTAAAACATAACTTAAAAATAACGTAAAAATAACTTATTGGTAGTTATTGAAATTTTTATTGTATTTGTTCCTTCGATCATATTGTATTCTTGGTCGAATAATATTGTGTTCATTTACATGCTGCGTTTGACTATACACATCCGATTCATTGTTTACATCTTGAGCGGTTGTTTATCTACAGCCTACTACATTTACGTATATTAAATCACGTGATCAAAGATTCACAACATCTCAGATGCATCCGATGTGGATCTTCCAACGTAGCAATAGTGTCCCAAACATTTTCAAACGTTTAAATTACGCGCCATGAAAAGCTAGTTGCTCTGTGCAAACCCTTTTTTCTTTGTATTACAACGCCTTCAGCCGATGATAACGAAGGATGAAGGATATCATGATATCAGCCCATGTGTCGCCATTGGAATATGTAGTTTATTATCTATCTGATGTGTTTTTACAATACTGTGATTCTACTAATGGTATTAACTATTACTTTATGAATATCTTATTCAAAAAACAACGTCATTTTTACGAGATATCATCGCGTCATTTTAACATCACCTGTGACGTAATTAAGGCATTCATGTCTTCTCTGGACTATGACATACTGAGGTCATATTTTACGTGAATAACATCATATTATTGGTCCCAAGATGTAACAGTTACTCAAAACACATCATAATGACGTGTGATTGCTAGCTGGAGTATTATGGAAATTCCACATAAATAATTTATCTCAACCATAATTATTAAATAAAACCAATACAACGTAACATTTTATTGGTTACTATCTTAACTTAAATACTCTATGCTAAAATTAGTTCAGGACCTCTTTTTTTTAATGGCAAACTTCAAGCATTAGTATCTAATTTTATACTAAACTAGCTATTACCCGCGGCTTTGCTCGCGACTTTGCTCGCATAATAGTCGTGTTATTAATATGAAAATACATGACTTCCTCTTTTATTAATTTTTATTAGTTTTATTGATTTTCATTCATTTTTTTAATTTTTTAATATTTATTCATTTTTTTTTAATTTTTATTCATTTGTATTCATTTTTATTAATTTTTATTAATTTTTATTAATTTTTATTAATTTTTATTAATTTTTATTAATTTTTATTAATTTTTATTAATTTTTATTAATTTTTATTAATTTTTATTAATTTTTATTCATTTTTATTCATTTTTATTCATTTTTATTCATTTTCATTCATTTTTATTCATTTTTATTCATTTTTATTCATTTTTATTCATTTTTATTCATTTTTATTCATTTTTATTCATTTTTATTCATTTTTATTCATTTTTATTCATTTTTATTCATTTTTATTCATTTTTATTCATTTTTATTCATTTTTATTCATTTTTATTCATTTTTATTCATTTTTATTCATTTTTATTCATTTTTATTCATTTTTATTCATTTTTATTCATTTTTATTCATTTTTATTCATTTTTATTCATTTTTATTCATTTTTATTCATTTTTATTCATTTTTATTCATTTTTATTCATTTTTATTCATTTTTATTCATTTTTATTCATTTTTATTCATTTTTATTCATTTTTATTCATTTTTATTAATTTAATTTTTATTAATTTTTATTAATTTTTATTAATTTTTATTAATTTTTATTAATTTTTATTAATTTTTATTAATTTTTATTAATTTTTATTAATTTTTATTAATTTTTATTAATTTTTATTAATTTTTATTAATTTTTATTAGTTTTTATTAATTTTTATTAATTTTTATTAATTTTTATTAATTTTTATTAATTTTTATTAATTTTTATTAATTTTTATTAATTTTTATTAATTTTTATTAATTTTTATTAATTTTTATTAATTTTTATTAATTTTTATTAATTTTTATTAATTTTTATTAATTTTTATTAATTTTTATTAATTTTTATTAATTTTTATTAATTTTTATTAATTTTTATTAATTTTTATTAATTTTTATTAATTTTTATTAATTTTTATTAATTTTTATTAATTTTTATTAATTTTTATTAATTTTTATTAATTTTTATTAATTTTTATTAATTTTTATTAATTTTTATTAATTTTTATTAATTTTTATTAATTTTTATTAATTTTTATTAATTTTTATTAATTTTTATTAATTTTTATTAATTTTTATTAATTTTTATTAATTTTTATTAATTTTTATTAATTTTTATTAATTTTTATTAATTTATATTAATTTTTATTAATTTTTATTAATTTTTATTAATTTTTATTAATTTTTATTAATTTTTTATTAATTTTTATTAATTTTTATTAATTTTATTAATTTTTATTAATTTTTATTAATTTTTATTAATTTTTATTAATTTTTATTAATTTTTATTAATTTTTATTAATTTTTATTAATTATTATTAATTTTTATTAATTTTTATTAATTTTTATTAATTTTTATTAATTTTTATTAATTTTTATTAATTTTTATTAATTTTTATTAATTTTTATTAATTTTTATTAATTTTTATTAATTTTTATTAATTTTTATTAATTTTTATTAATTTTTATTAATTTTTATTAATTTTTATTAATTTTTATTAATTTTTATTAATTTTTATTAATTTTTATTAATTTTTATTAATTTTTATTAATTTTTATTAATTTTTATTAATTTTTATTAATTGTTATTAATTTTTATTAATTTTTAATAATTTTTAATAATTTTTAATAATTTTTATTAATTTTTAATAATTTTTAATAATTTTTAATAATTTTTATTAATTTTTAATAATTTTTAATAATTTTTAATAATTTTTTTTAATTTTTATTTTTATTAATTTTCACCCCCGTTTTCCCCCCTTAAAATGTAAAAAACCAAAAACCATGAAACACTTCATTATTTATTTATGATAAGAACCTACAATTCCAATTTTCAAGTTCCTATATTTAAAAAAATCGAAATTTCCGAATAAACTTTCACCCCCCCATTTCCCCCCCTTAAAATGTGAAAATCCAAAAACCCTGAAACACGTTATTAATAATTTGCAGTCAGTAGCTTCAATTCCAATTTTCATGTTTCTAACTTTATAGAGAACAAAAAAATCGTTAGTCCCTTACAAACTTTCACCCCCGTTTTCCCCCCTTAAAATGTAAAAAATACAAAAACCCTGAAACATGTAATTATTTATTTATGCTCAGTAGCTGTAATTTGACTTTTCACGTTTCTAACTTTAAAGAACAAAGAGTTTCATTAAAAGCTCCCTCCCCATTTCCTCCAATTTCCCCCCAGTCAGTCAGTCAGTCAGTCAGTCAGTCAGTCAGTCAGTCAGTCAGTCAGTCAGTCAGTCAGTCAGTCAGTCAGTCAGTCAGTCAGTCAGTCAGTCAGTCAGTCAGTCAGTCAGTCAGTCAGTCAGTCAGTCAGTCAGTCAGTCAGTCAGTCAGTCAGTCAGTCAGTCAGTCAGTCAGTCAGTCAGTCAGTCAGTCAGTCAGTCAGTCAGTCAGTCAGTCAGTCAGTCAGTCAGTCAGTCAGTCAGTCAGTCAGTCAGTCAGTCAGTCAGTCAGTCAGTCAGTCAGTCAGTCAGTCAGTCAGTCAGTCAGTCAGTCAGTCAGTCAGTCAGTCAGTCAGTCAGTCAGTCAGTCAGTCAGTCAGTCAGTCAGTCAGTCAGTCAGTCAGTCAGTCAGTCAGTCAGTCAGTCAGTCAGTCAGTCAGTCAGTCAGTCAGTCAGTCAGTCAGTCAGTCAGTCAGTCAGTCAGTCAGTCAGTCAGTCAGTCAGTCAGTCAGTCAGTCAGTCAGTCAGTCAGTCAGTCAGTCAGTCAGTCAGTCAGTCAGTCAGTCAGTCAGTCAGTCAGTCAGTCAGTCAGGACAATTTTATATATATAGATTTATTGATGATTTAATGTTTAAGCTAAGCGGCAAAACTTTTAATTTTTTTTTATCTGGCCTTGGTGGTTTACTCGTAAAACGGGTTTTCTTAAGATTTCACTAAAATTTAAATATAAGGTTAATGAAAGTGTATTTTACGTAACTAAAAATAATGAAATTTTTTGACCGTTTGTGAAACGAGATATTAACAATCAAAATATGCATAATTAACACTCTTGAAGCCTGTCATGTACATAAGCAATGTATTTATTTCAAGATATCTTGAAAACGGTTCTCACTATATGTAAATCAAGAAGTTATAAAATTTTCTAAAGAAACGCTAAACTTTTTGACCGTTTTTGTAAAAATATATAAGTTTTTAAAATAAAAATATTTTTAAAAAGCAGTTGACGCGTAGTTGCGTAAAATGATTACAACTTAGCAACATTGTAATTGGCTACACTTTTAACGCGTGGTGTTATGTTATAACTTCGCGACGTGTTCTTGAAAAATTAATTCGTCCACTGTATTTGAGAACTGGAATCAGCGGTTCTGTTTGAACCAAAACAAACCCTTAAAATTAGTAAGAGGAAGTCACAAATTTCTAAAGCCCACCACTATTTATATATTTGCGACGTAGCCAGATGGATTTTGTTTGAAATTATAACGTATCCGTATATACAAGCTTATAAGTGTTGTGTACAGTCACAAAAATAATTTATTTTAGCCTTGAGAATATCGATCTCTTGGTATTCACCATTAGGCGATATTTTTATGTACGACTGTCGCGAGTGAACTACTTTAATTAAATCTGGAGTCGGTCCATTTTTAAGTATTCTCAAATAATATCGAGAAATTTGGAGACATAAGTAAAACAAAAAAAGTGGGCGCCTTTAGTCGTTGAATATATTATAAATTACATTATATTATTTGCATAGAATTCTTATTGCGGAACCGAGAAATAAACAGACTCTTTAGACAAGAGCGAGACAGAAATATTCGTAGCCCACTTGCATATAAAAATTCCGTATCGGAGACCTACGAGTCCGAGCGACGTCACTTCATCTAACAGCCCGAATACTTGAATTGGGGGGGCTACAACTTTTAGCCCTGCCAGTCCACAACATTAGCTAACGGAAAATATATTGTAACAAAGTCATTTTTCATTTTATTCTCATGTTCAATGAATAATTATCACTGCGCGAAGGGTGTGCCTTTGGAATGAATACCTGCACCAACCTGGCTGTAGGATGGTTGCGCGGTAGCACGGCTAGTGGGGTATATTCTGCTGAGCTTCTTCGCGAAAGGAAATTATTGTTTTCGGCAACTGATTTACGACTACTACCTTAAAATAATTTAGATATGCCGCAATTAGCTTGCTTCGATAAATTCTTTTTCCGTTAAAACAGCCGAAGGTAAACAACGTTTTTTTCCTAATTTCGATTTAGTTTTTCTTTTTAAATACCGTGGTTTAAAATACAGTTAGATTGAATATTAATAAATCCTTTTAGTAGAGTTTAAAATGTTTGTAAATTACCCAGCAAACACACATTAATGGCCCAACACTGGCAAAATGCATGTGAACAGTACTTAAAGTGTCGACACAGCATTTGTGTCGGACCACACTACCGGCATCCTCGCGTCCAGACGGCTGACGATTTTCACGCATACTATTCCCCGTCACTTGCAAATGCTGGAAAAGTGCTTTAGAAGCCGACAAAATTATTAAGAACTTTTTCCCTGGAAAAGTACTCTTAATATGTTTTATAGTTTTCATCTATAGTAAACTAAGATTTTTTCACACAAACTCTGTTTTTACCTTATTATATCGATATTCGCTATAATAAAGCAAAAAATTAGTTACGTAAACCAATCTTAACTTGACTTGAAGGTTTTTAGGTTTAATTAATATTTTAATAAAATTATAATCAAAAATAATAAATTTATTTAAAAAAAACATACAAATTCAATATTTTAAAAAATATATCAAGTATCGGGCTGGGACTATCGGGCTGGAACTATTGGGCTGCTACATAATCCAAGATAGCATTGCGCCTCAGACGTAATAAAGAATGTGATATCTAACACAGAAAACACACAGTATAAGTATAAAAATAAACGTGAAAAGTCCACAGCAAAAATCATCAAGTTTTATGAAACCAAATTTTTCAGGAGAACAAAAATAATATATGGACTCTGATGTTTATTCTGTGCTCGATCTTTTGTATGCGATGGTTTTTTAATTTTTTCTCACATGATACCTACTATTGCTTAAACACCAAAAGATGGCATTGAGAACTCAAAATCACTTAAAAATGGAATTTGATGGTTTTGCAGCGGCCCTTCAAATATATTAATCAGAAACAATGAGACAATAATAATAACAGAATTTTTAATTTTTTTGATAAATGAATCTGTTGTGGCAGATATGATTTCGTAAAACACAGTTTATGAAACGCTGTGCTAGAATACAAAACTGGTACTGACATTCAAATAAAAAGTTTTAAACTTACCAATACATAGCATATTCGATGTCTAAATCATTTGAAGTTGAAAGCAGTTCTTTTGCTGAATATTTTCTGTCCAGACACAAAAGGCGATTTCAAAACTAATTTGAAGGCAGTCCATCCGGTGCGCTTCCAAGAACTGTTAGGAAATAACACAAATATAATGGAAAACAAGTTTACAAAGCTCAACCATAGCTTAGAGAACAATCAGTAGTGCGACTCTTGAGCGGTACCTTTGATATAGGTAGCAGCTATTCTTGAATTCGAGCGAACAGAAAACCGGTTTCTCCTCTTTATTTGCGAAGCAAAAAAATTGTATTTTTATCTCATTCTTTCCTCAAAATTTCTACTCCTAGATTCAAGAATAGATACCCAGCACGAGTCACGATTTTCCACAAGGAGGAAGAGGTTTGTCAGGCGACACCATTTTGTTAGGATCATTCACAGATCCGGGTTCGCAGTTTAAGATATTTTTTATATATCTTTACGAAACTTTCTATACAAAATTATAATAGCATACTTAAAATTACAATATCTTCGATCTCTTATCTGAAATTGAGACTGCAGTATAATATAATTTTATATAATATTTATCAATAATGGATGTGAGATCACCACCGAAAAGAAAAATAACACTTGACAACTGTCTGGATACACCACTAGCAGAAGACTGGAAAAAAAGCTACTGCACAGAATATGTCTTCACAATAAAATTATTCCTAAGAAAATAGCGACGCAAATGATGTAGTTCTGATACCTAGACCTTTTGAAAAATTTGAGTCGCAATACCGATTGTTTTCTATACTGTGGCTCAACTAAATAAATTGAAAATGATAACGCAACTAACTGTAACCAAGTTAATTATATAAATAAATTCACCTGTAATCGTAATATTTTTTTTCGACCATGATACCCTGACAATAATCAATAATTCATCTGTCATTACCATCTTTCACTACATTTCACTATTGCGGGGACACTGAAATAGCGGACGTGGTTGATTTTACATATGCCTAGACTAGAATGATCTCTTCGCCTATAGTCTAGAAAGCTGATTCTTTCTCACCCGTATCTCCCGATGATTCCGCAGAAGAATTCCTAGGTGCCATGGTGGTGGAATATTCATCTACTACGATAGTTTTTGAAGTCGATGCGACCACCACAGCTAAGGGAACAGACAGAATTTCGATGTGGATGCATCAAATTCAATAAAGTTTCGTTAAGTTTCTTATGTTCATTCATAATATTTGTGAGTCGTCAGTTCTTGTATTTAACCCTGTTGTTTAGGAAAAGACTCACAAACCCCGTTCTACCAACTTCGTCACTTGAAGATCATATGTAGTTGCGTTCTAAATTGGCGAAAACGGCTACGAAAAAATTACACGAGGTAGCTAACAAAATTTTAAAAACCACAATAATATACAGGAAAACATTGAATGGACACCAGAAACGAAAACAAAATACTAAGAACCAGCAGACAAGAATTCGAACGACATGAAAACAAAAACACAGAATGGATACAAGAAAAGAAATCGAAATACCAAGAACCCAGGGACAAAGGACATGAAACCGAAAACATTAAAATACCAAGTGCCGACGGGCAAATCACCGGAAAAGAAAACAAAATACCAAGAACAGACGAACAAAAAAATCGAACATAAAAATAAAAACCCTAAATTGGCACTTGAATCAGCATTAAAGGAACTACTTTTTCAAGGCAGGATTACAAACACCAAGAGACAAGGATTTCCCCTCATAAGAGTACTTGCAGTGTTTTTGAGATATAAAACTAAAGTCTATGGGCAATGCAACAAGGGAATGGAATGCTAGGGTAGAAAAGATTTCAATTGAGAAATCGGCTATGGGAATTTGACAAGAAAAAAACATGTACAGAAATTGACTCAAGACAATAAACTTTTGTAAGAAAAGAAAACAAAATACCAAGAACCTGCGGACAAAGAATTCGAACGACATGAAACCGAAAATATTAAATGGACACCAAAAAAGAAAGCAAAATACCAAGAACCTGCGGACAAAGAATTCGAACGACATGAAACGGAAAATACTAAATGGACACCAGAAAAGGAAGCAAAATACCAAATGCAGACAGACAAAAAATTTAAACGACATAAAGAAGAAAACGCTGAATGGATAACAGAAAATAAAAACAAATACCAAGAACAAACAGGCACACCACTAGAAAAGAAAACAAAATACCAATAACAAACGAACAAAAATCGAACATCATGAAAATGAAAACCCTAAATAGGCACTTGAATCGGCATTAAAGGAACGGCTCTTAGACAGTTTTTCATAAACCAAAAACTCAGATACCTGGCTCCTTAGAGGTGCCAACTACTTTTGCAAGGCAGGATTACAAACACCAAGAGCCAAGTATTTCCCCTCGTAAGAGTACTTGCAGTGTTTTTGAGATATGAAACTAAAGTCTATAGGCAATGCAACGGTGGATTGGAATGCAAGGGTAGAAAAAGATTTCAACTGAGAAATCGGCTACGGGAATTTGTCAAGAAAGGACCATGAACAGAAATTGACTAAAAACGATAGACTTTTGTAAGAACAGAAAACAAAATATCAAGACCCTGCGGACAAAGAATTCGAAAGACATGAAACCGAAAATACTAAATCGACACCAGAAATAAAATCAAAATACCAAGACCCTGCGGACAAAAAATTCGAACGACATGGAACCGAAAATTCTAAATGGACACTAGAAAAAAAATCAAAATACCAAGTGCAGACGGACAAAAAATTTGAACGACATAAAGAGGAAAACGCTGAATGGATACCAGAAAATGAAAACAAATACCAAGAACAAACAGGCAAATCACCAGAAAAGAAAACAAAATACCAAGAATAAACGAACAAAAATCGAACAACATGAAACTGAAAACCCTGAATAGGCATTAAAGGAACGGCTCTTAGACAGTTTTTCATAAACCAAAAACTCAGATACCTGGCTCCTTAGAGGTGCCAACTACTTTTGCAAGGCAGGATTACAAACACCAAGAGCCAAGTATTTCCCCTCGTAAGAGTACTTGCAGTGTTTTTGAGATATGAAACTAAAGTCTATAGGCAATGCAACGGTGGATTGGAATGCAAGGGTAGAAAAAGATTTCAACTGAGAAATCGGCTACGGGAATTTGTCAAGAAAGGACCATGAACATAAATTGACTAAAAACGATAGTCTTTTGTAAGAACAGAAAACAAAATACCAAGACCCTGCGGACAAAGAATTCGAAAGACATGAAACCGAAAATACTAAATCGACACCAGAAATAAAATCAAAATACCAAGACGCTGCGGACAAAAAATTCGAACGACATGGAACCGAAAATTCTAAATGGACACTAGAAAAAAAATCAAAATACCAAGTGCAGACGGACAAAAAATTTGAACGACATAAAGAGGAAAACGCTGAATGGATACCGGAAAATGAAAACAAATACCAAGAACAAACAGGCAAATCACCAGAAAAGAAAACAAAATACCAAGAATAAACGAACAAAAATCGAACAACATGAAATTGAAAACCCTGAATAGGCATTAAAGGAACGGCTCTTAGACAGTTTTTCATAAACCAAAAACTCAGGTACCTGGCTCCTTAGAGGTGCCAACTACTTTTGCAAGGCAGGATTACAAACACCAAGAGCCAAGTATTTCCCCTCGTAAGAGTACTTGCAGTGTTTTTGAGATATGAAACTAAAGTCTATAGGCAATGCAACGGTGGATTGGAATGCAAGGGTAGAAAAGGATTTCAACTGAGAAATCGGCTACGGGAATTTGTCAAGAAAGGACCATGAACAGAAATTGACTAAAAACGATAGACTTTTGTAAGAACAGAAAACAAAATACCAAGACCCTGCGGACAAAGAATTCGAAAGACATGAAACCGAAAATACTAAATCGACACCAGAAATAAAATCAAAATACCAAGACCCTGCGGACAAAAAATTCGAACGACATGAAACCGAAAATACTAAATCGACACTAGAAAAAAAAATCAAAACACCAAGTGCAGACAGACAAAAAATTTGAACGACATAAAGAGGAAAACGCTGAATGGATACCAGAAAATGAAAACAAATACAAAGAACAAACAGGCAAATAACCAGAAAAGAAAACAAAATACCAAGAAAAAAACGAACAAAAATCGAACAACATGAAACTGAAAACCCTGAATAGGCATTAAAGGAACGGCTCTTAGACAGTTTTTCATAAACCAAAAACTCAGATACCTGGCTCCTTAGAGGTGCCAACTACTTTTGCAAGGCAGGATTACAAACACCAAGAGCCAAGTATTTCCCCTCGTAAGAGTACTTGCAGTGTTTTTGAGATATGAAACTAAAGACTATAGGCAATGCAACGGTGGATTTGAATGCAAGGGTAGAAAAAGATTTCAACTGAAAAATCGGCTACGGGAATTTGTCAAGAAAGGACCAAATTGACTAAAAACGATAGACTTTTGTAAGAACAGAAAACAAAATACCAAGACCCTGCGGACAAAGAATTCGAAAGACATGAAACCGAAAATACTAAATCGACACCAGAAATAAAATCAAAATACCAAGACCCTGCGGACAAAAAATTCGAACGACATGGAACCGAAAATTCTAAATGGACACTAGAAAAAAAAATCAAAATACCAAGTGCAGACGGACAAAAAATTTGAACGACATAAAGAGGAAAACGCTGAATGGATACCAGAAAATGAAAACAAATACCAAGAACAAACAGGCAAATCACCAGAAAAGAAAACAAAATACCAAGAATAAACGAACAAAAATCGAACAACATGAAACTGAAAACCCTGAATAGGCATTAAAGGAACGGCTCTTAGACAGTTTTTCATAAACCAAAAACTCAGATACCTAGCTCCTTAGAGGTGCCAACTACTTTTGCAAGGCAGGATTACAAACACCAAGAGCCAAGTATTTCCCCTCGTAAGAGTACTTGCAGTGTTTTTGAGATATGAAACTAAAGTCTATAGGCAATGCAACGGTGGATTGGAATGCAAGGGTAGAAAAAGATTTCAACTGAGAAATCGGCTACGGGAATTTTTCAAGAAAGGACCATGAACAGAAATTGACTGAAAACGATAGACTTTTGTAAGAACAGAAAACAAAATACCAAGACCCTGCGGACAAAGAATTCGAAAGACATGAAACCGAAAATACTAAATCGACACCAGAAATAAATAAAATCAAAATACCAAGACCCTGCGGACAAAAAATTCGAACATGAAACCGAAAATACTAAATGGACACTAGAAAAAAAAAGTCAAAACACCAAGTGCAGACAGACAAAAAATTTGAACGACACAAAGAGGAAAACGCTGAATGGATACCAGAAAATGAAAACAAATACCAAGAACAAACAGGCAAATCACCAGAAAAGTAAACAAAATACCACTTGAATAGGCACTTGAATCAGCATTAAAGAAACGGCTCTTAGACAGCTTTTCATAAACAAAAACACATATACCTGGATCCTTAGAGGTGTCAACTACTTTTTGATCCGACAGATCCGACAAAGATTCGAACGACACGGTGGCGAAAATAATGAATGAACTTAATAAAAAAAAAAACAAAATACCAAGAACAGACGGAGAAAAAATTCAAACGAAATGAAAACGAAAACAGTGAAGGGACACCAGGAAAGAAAGTAAAATAACAAGAATAATAATAGGAACGTTTTCACCCGTATTTCCCAATGATTCCGCAGAAGAATTCCTAGGTGCCATGGTAAGGGAACATCCATCTACTACGTTTCCTATTGGTTTTTGATATTGGTACGACCACAGCAGCTAAGGGGACAAACACAGAATTTCTGCGTCGATACATAAACTTCAATAAAGTTTCTTTTGGTTCCTGTTGTTGACTGATAATACTTCGGAGCATTAGGGCCTAATATCACCAACTCTGTAGTTAATCAACCGTTGTTTGACTCACATATCCCGTAAGCCGTACCTCTCGCCAAATTATTTCTCGTCACATCGTCACTTGAAGATCGTATGCTGTTATATTCTAAGTTGGTAATGCTTAGAGAAAACTGGTTTTAGAAAATGGCTATTTCAAAATCTGCGAAAAAAAAATTTAATGCTAACAAAATTCTAATAAATTACACTAATATAGTTAATTGATGAATTTTGATATGGGAACATGAATCCTTAAATAGCGTAGTTACTAAGATATAAATCAAAAATATCGAAATATTTTTTTTTTTAGTTTGATTTACCAAGATTCTTGTAAAATACACAAAATATTCAAAATTTGATACTAGCTTACTAATTAATTAAAAAATATAAAGTCGTTACAAATTATTCGAGTACATGTAGATTTGTGTTGCGCGAGAGAGAAAGAGAAAGAGAGAAAGAGAGAGAAGAGAGAGAAAGAGAGAAAGAGAGAAAGAGAGAAAGAGAGAAAGAGAGAAAGAGAGAAAGAGAGAAAGAGAGAAAGAGAGAGAAGAGGAGAAAGAGAGAAGAGGAGAGAAAGAGAGAAAGAGAGAAGAGAGAAGAGAGAGAGAGAAGAGAGAAAGAGAGAAAGAGGAAGAGAACTACTGGCAAAAATTTTCAAAACTTAGTTCATGTCAAAATAATACTTATCTTAAAGGGCATATTTGTCACGAAATTTGAAAAACATATTTAGAGGTGTTTTTAATTTATTGTAAATTTTAAATTTTGATTTCAAACTTTTAACACCCTTTATATTGGTACCTAAGCCTCTAAAAGGGTCCATGTTCATATATCGAAATTGATCAATTTACGAGATCTCTCTGGGGTACAGCGTTGTCGTTCGAATATATTAACACTCTGTATATACAAAATTTATAGAGACTGATATCACAGACGACTCTTATTTAAAGAACTTTCTTCTCTAATCGTAAATAAACAGATATATACCTTAAAGTAGAAAAAGTATCCCCTATAAAGTACTTCCCAGATTAGGTCGGGTCCGAAATAAGCAGTTTTTATTTAATAATGTTGACGAGTTACTTATAGTGTGTTAAAAATTAGATATCCTAGGTCCAAATTTTGAGCTACCCCTATTTGGACCTCAAGGCCAGTGAAGTGGTTCATTTTTTCGTCAAAAATAAATTTGCGCTACTGAAAAAAATATTCTTAAGTGCTTCTACAAAATATAAACTTAATCGAAAAACCTTTAGCCCACCCCATGCATTTTAGAATATTAATTAAACTTTTATTT